TAGATATTGTGGTTATCAATTGAATAATGATTGTCATAATAATCATAATACGATGGATATTCAATGTTCATCCGATTCAATTTATTATTGTTTTTCAACATATCGTATTGCACAACGTGTACGAAATTGTACAATCGATGATAATCGCAATGGTGGTGGTGATGGTGATGGTCGAAAAAATTGTTTGCAAATATCAATTGGATCATCAAGATGTTCAAATCAATGATTGTAATGATCTTTGTGTTTAACTTGATAATTTTTGAAATTAAAATAAAATTCTTGATTTTTGACTTTTTTTCGTAAAAATTTTTTTTAAAGATTCGAAATTCTTGAACAGATTTTATGAATAGGATTCGAATGAAGAATTCGAATGTTTTTTGGTTCGTTAAATCCAGCGTTTACACTCCCAAAGCAAAGTGTTTGCTCTCTGTTTTCATTCGATTCGATTCGGCGACGACGACTGTTCTGTGACAAGTGTTCCAACAACATCACATGGAACACTTTGGACTTTTTTTGGAAAATTTGGAGCGCGCGAAATTGATTTCCAAAATCATCGAATCAATCAAATCGAATCGAATCAACCTAAAAGTGATCACCTTGAACGAAACAAAACAAAAGAAATCAACTTTAAATATCATCGGCCAAACAAAACAAACAAAAAAAATTTACTCAAAATATCATCGGTAAAAAGCCATAAATTTTTCTTTCTTTCTGACATTTTCATTTGTGATAATCATCAAAATTTTATGACATTATCATCATCATCATCATCACCATAAAATAATCATTTAGCTCATCAAGAATCAACAAAGTCAGTCAGTCAATTTTGTCAGGTTTTGACATATTATTATCAACTTTGCCTTTTGTTGAATCAATCATATATCATGTATAATGTATAATGTATCAAAAATTTCTACTTAATTAAGGATTATTATTCGAACAAAATAATTATTATCCGACTTAATCATCATCGTCGCTTTTATCAAATGATTCGATTTTCTTTTTTTTTTTGGCGTGCTTTCGAACGTCAATCATATTCAACAACAGAAAAAAATCATTCGAAATTGTCGTTCGAAATCATCAACCCTTGATGTTAAAATATCCTTGAAATTGAAAATAGCACATCAACATCGATTGATCGACCGAAATGTGTGGTAATCATATCATCATCGAATTTCTGTTTTTTTTTTTTTTTTTTTTTTTTTATTTATAATAAAAAAAAACCTTAACTCCTNAATCATATCATCATCAAATTTCTCGTTATTTGAATGATGATAATCAAGACAAAAACCTTAACCTCGATGTAATGATAATCGATTAGCAAACAATTCTCAATCTCTTACCATAGCCTGGCTACAAATTGAATCTGGTTGATGGATAATAATAATCTTATCCATGTGAAACAACAACAACGACCAAAAAAAAATATGAAATTTTTTTCAACCTTGTGTCCAATTCGTATTCTAAATTGAATTTTATCGTTTTTGTTGGTGATCGGGCTGTGTGTGTGTTTTCAATTTCATCAACCTTGTCCGATTTTGATTAGGAAAAATTTTAGTTTTTTTCGTTCAGTTTACCCAGAAAAATTTCAACAAAAAACCAAACCAATCGGTAACCATTCTAAGAAACACAGAGAAAAAAATTCCATTTCATTGATTGTTTATCGATCGATATTGATTACCAATCAATCAATCAATCAATCAAACTAATTGGTAATGAACAAAAACGTGATTCGAATATATTGCATCAAGAAAATAAACATCATCAACAACAAATGAATGAATGAATATTGAAAGAATTGAAAACAAAAAAATCATAATCCCCCTTACCATCATCTTGATGATGATCAACAACAACATCCTTCAAGGCTATCAACGGAAATCATTATTTTGTTGTTGTTGAAATGTTGAAATGTCTACCATCAATATTTCACCACCATCATTCAATTGATCATTGCTTGATTGTGTGTATGGTGTATCCTTGATGTTTTGTTTCAACAGAAAACATTTTTTTTTCTATTCACAGTGTTTACAAGTGTTAAATTTTGTCGAAACAAAAATGATGATGATGTTTGAAAAAAATATAAACAAAAATTTTTGATCAGGAAAAAAAATCAATCAATCAATCGATTCCGGTATCGATGTTTATCTCGCTTTCTCTTTTTTTTCTCTAATTATCATTACAAAAAAAATCAATCCAAAAATGACCATGTCTACAATGTGTTAACCTGATTGTGTTATCTTTCATTCTTGATGATGATATCTTAACAATGTGATAATGAATGTAATGAAGGGTTAAATGGTGAATTAGTGAAATTAATACGCATCTGATTGAAGTAAAGTGAAAAAACGGGAAAATTTTCTTTTCATTTTCTGCCAAGTTTTTCTTTCAACGGTGTCTATCGGGTGTTCTGCTTTCTTTTCTTTCTTTTTTCTTTGCTCAATTTTTTTTTTGACGGTCACATCAAGTATTTATCAACAAGTTTTTTTTACTTATTTAAATCAAACAAACAAACAAACAAATCATCATTCGGGTAAATTCATTCAATTCATGTTTTATTTTCCAGTTAAAATCCTTATCACATAGGATTATCAATGGTGATAATCAATGTTAATTGATACTATTGATTGATTGATTGATTGATTGATGTTATTCTTTTTTCTTGTTTATCCTTTTTTTTCTCATTCATTCTTCTACAGAAAAAAAAATTATCATACAAAGACCTCTTGACAAAAAAACTGATTCGATTAAGTTTTTTTTACTTTGGTTAAATGATAATGTTGACCAAAATTTCCAGCTAAATTCAAATATCAAATCAATTATCCATCATCATCATCATTGTATGTTTGTACATCGTTCTGTCGTGTTTGCTTGTTTGTTTGTTTGTGTGTGATCCAAACCATAAATACCGATTACATTCTTATTTAGCCAAAAAAAACTTTGAAAAACTTTCCAAGAAAAATATCTGTTTGTTTTTACAGAATTTGAAATTTTCAATATTCACAGAATTTGACTTTTATTGTTTCTTCCCTGGATAAATAAATGTCGACAATAATTCATCATCGTCATTCATCAACACAAACACCATCATCATCATTGATAATTTCACAATATAATAATGTAGATATTGATATTGATGATGATGATAATATCAAGAATTTGGATGAATGTCAAGATCAACATGAGCAACATGACCAATCATCATCATTATCAATGATAACGGAAGAAGAAAATCATTCGAATCATTATCAACAACCACAAATGAAAACAAATCAAAAATATATTCTATGTCCATTAATTGAAAAGGAAAAAGATTGTACAATCGATACAATCGATTTATTGGATCATTCGAAAACATTGGATTCTTTTCATAATCATAATCATCATTTATTAAAAAATTATTTTGTTCAAATCGATAATAATCATAATAATTTAGAAGAAGAAATGAATAAGAAGAATAAAAAAATTGATCCATTAATAATGAACATTAATGGACATGGAAATTGTTTAATTAACACTCAATTACCACCACCATATACAAGTCTAGTCCCAGATGATGATGATATTGAGGGTCCAACACCTGATGATGATGAAGAAGATGAAGATTGTTGTGAAGATTCGGCATTAAATTCATCAACATCTGTATTTGATTTTGATAAATCAAATATCGAACCAATCAATATAAATAATATTGAAATCATTCGAACCAGATCAAAACAATCAAAAATTCGAATATCATTTATGATTTTATTTAAATCTTGTTTCTGTCGTGGACCAATGATGATGCGTATATTATCGGCATTATTTTTTGCTATTTCATCATTTTTATTGGTTGTTATTAATAAGATTATTCTGACCACTTATCAGTGAGTATTTTTTTGTTTGTTTGTTTGTTTTTTGAAAAAAGTTTAATCAAGTTTGATTCAATTCATTTTTCACTAGTTTTCCATCGGTAATGATTGTCGGTTTAGGACAGGTATTTGCAACAATAATCATATTGAATGTTTGTCGTCGTATTGGTTTTATTAAATTTCCATATTATTCACGTGAAATTAATATTAAAATATCACCATTACCAATATTTTTTTTCGGTAATTTGGTTGCTGGTCTTGGTTCAACTAAACGTTTAAATCTACCAATGTTAACCGTATTACGTCGTTTTACTATTCTAATGACTATGATTGGTGAATATTATATTCTTGGGTAAGGTTTCATTATTCTTTTCATCGATTATTGTTTTGTAACCGAAAAAAAACTTAATTAAATTTCAAGGATAACCCAATCAACAACAATCAAAATGACCGTTTTTATGATGATTGGTGGTGCCATAATTGCTGCAAGGTAAGAATCAAAACGAAAATTTTCCAAAAAAAAAACTAAAATCACAAAAGTTCATTGACATTTCAAAAATCAATGATGAACAATTTGTTTGATCAAACAATTTGTTGTTTTATTTAATTTTGACAAGTTTTTTGTTTTAATTACATAGGATTAGTTAGTGTTAAAAGTTTCTTTTCTCTTTCTCTCTTGGATTCTCTCGTTGTTTTTTGGGGTTCTGAATTTTTTTTTACAAAAAAGTTTATGCAGGTTTTTTTTTGTTTTGGTTCATCAAACTTTGTTTTTTACCCAAGAAAAGAATCCATATTGTTTTCGGCAGCGATAGATGGCGCCAATTTCTTGAAAATTATTTGAATTTTTTTTTGATTTTGTATTTTAATTTTAATCCTTTTTTCTCATTTTTTCACTTCCTTCCCTTCCACTTTATCCAGCAATGATTTAGCATTCGATATGATGGGTTATATTTGTGTATTGCTCAATGATATTTTCTCTACATTCAATGGTATTTATATGAAAAAGAAACTTGATTCTAGGGTAAGTTTTTGTCTTAAAAATCAATTTTTTTGGTTGAAAACATTCTTTGAATTTTTCTCCATCCATGTTTACTACTTTCAATGTGTGCCATAATCTAATAACATTTTTTGTTTGTTTGTTTCTTTTTTCTTCTTTATATTCTTCTGGATGTTATTACCTTCTTCTACATGTTGGTTCATCATTGTTCACCAAATGATTGATTATTGATGATGATTCCCTTATGGTGGATAAAATGTTTCGAATGTGATTATTATTATTGTTGTTGTATCTGCTGTTTGTCAATTGTCTCCTTATTCCCACACACACACCAAATCAATATCATGTTTCGAAAAAAAATGGTCAACAACAACAACAATGACAACAATGATTGATTATCGTGTCATCCATTCTTCTGATTTATTCTGAACCAATAAAAATGTGTGAATCACAACAACAACATTGACACCAAACCGATGACAATGATGATGATGATGAAAAAAAACAATTTTGCTGTTTTTGGATTGAAATTTTTATTTTTTTTTTGCAGGATTTAGGCAAATATGGTATACTTTATTATAATGCTTTATTCATATCAATACCATTATTTGTATTATCATTATGTATTGATGATTATGGTGAATGTTTTTTAGAATTTGAACATTGGAATTCACCATGGTTTGTTTTAGCATTTTTAATGTCCAATATAATGGGTTTTGTTTTAATGTATTCAACTGCATTATGTACACAATATAATTCAGCATTAACAACAACTATTGTTGGTTGTTTAAAGGTTTGTAAATTAAAAATCAAAAAAAAAAATCTCATCTGGTAGCAAACGTGTTAATGAAAAAAAAATCTTCTCTGAAATCAATTTTCAAATAGAAAAATATTAGTTTCAGATCAGTTATTATCAATATTTTTGCAGCTAAAAATAGTTCAATTTGAAAACCTTTTCAAATAAATTGATTGATTGATTGAAGACAATTTAGTTTTAATAATCCTCATCATAATCATCATTATTGTGATTATTATTAAAGTATTTGATTTCTTTATTTAATTTTTCAATCAAAAAAATTTCTGTCCATTTGACACATTAATAATATCGGTAATAATAGTATAGTTATTGTATGAATGTATTAAGAAAATTAAAAACTTTCAACAATAATAACATCATTATGTGGAATCTGTATTTCCAGATTCGATTCACGTTTTTTCATTTCATTTTATTTTGAGGAGATTTATGATGAAATCACCATCGTCATCATCCAACATGATCATTAATGACATTCAATCAATCAGGTCATTTAGGTCCAAAGGATTAAATGAACATTGAGCTTTCATTTTTCTCATTTATGAAAATTGAAAATTGAAAATTGAAAATTCTATATTTGTTTCCCTTCTCTTCTTCTCTTTTTCCAAATAATCATCATTTTTAACCCAGAATGATAATCGATTTTTTTCAACATTGAAAAACATTTAGGACACCAAAAAAACATCCATAATATTTGATTGAAAATTGATTCTTGATTCTTGTTTTGTTTGTTTGACATTCTTTCAATTTTCTTTCAATTCCTTTTTTTTCTCATGTCATAATAATAATATCTATTTTCTATTTTTTTCACTTATAGAATATTCTTGTGACATTTATTGGAATGTATATTGGTGGTGATTATATATTTTCTATTGTAAATTTTATCGGTCTTAATATATCGATGATTGGCAGTCTAATATATTCGTATGTGATATTTGTTCATAAATCGACTCGTACAATCAAACAATCATCATCATCATCATCATCCACATCGTCAACATCATCATCCGATTCATCTACACCGGATTCAATATCAAAAGCTAAACAATCAATAGTCAAAGAATGATGATAAAAAAGAAAGAATTGAAAAAAATGTCAACCAAAACACATCAATGAAATAAATGAAAAACAACAACAACAACGATGATAACGAATTTGATCTTGCTACAATTCAATTTACAATTTTTTTTTTTTGATTTGTTAACATTTTTTTCCAATGGCAAAATTCCAATGTTTTTTTTTTGTTTTTTTTACAGTTTGTAAACTTTCTTTTACAAACTGGTAATGGTCCAAAAAACAGAAACAGAGATAGATAGATATATTTTTATTTTTTTTGTTGTGTGCCACAATTCTTGTCATGTACGTTATATACAAATGTTATAGATTATGTTTTTTTTTTCTTTCTTCTTTCTTCTTCTTTCAATATTCTTTCTTTTTCTCTCTCTTTGTGTGTATGTTTGTAAAAACATCAAATTCTGTAACAACAAATTCTGTAATGTCAAATTCTGTAGTAGCCATATAGACAGAGACGGAGACAAGACATGAGATGACATTGATAATAATAATAATGTCAACCAGAGATACAAACACACAGATATACACAGTGATGATTTGTAATTTTGTTAATTTTTTTCACTTTCACTTCTTTCAATCAATGCATCAATCAACTAATATTATTTCCAATATTTTAATTCAATTATAACTCTTTCCTTATAATTTTTAAATAATTTTTTTTTAATAATTTTTTTTTTTTATAAATTAGTTTCTATAAAATATCAAATTATAATTTATAAATTTATGTCATGGGAAAATTAAAAATTGATGGGAATTGAAATAGACATAACAAATCATCAACTAAAACTTATTGGTGGAAAATGGGTAATAAAAATAAACAATTTAGTTGATGAAACTTGGACTATGAACAGGATGGAAATTGGCTAAATATGGAAATCGATAACGAAAAATAAACAAATCAAGTTTATGAACTATTGGACTATGGACAAATATGGAGTTGGAATTGATAACAAAATAATTTAGAAGATCAAAAACAGGATGCCGAATAATATCGAAAAGAAAACATCGATGGCGGTAATCGGCAAAATAAACAAATGGATGGATGTTTGATCGGGCATATATAAACCCGATCAAACTTGGCAAACGTTGGTCGAATTTCAAGTTGGATATTGGTTGGAAATTGGTTAATCATTGGCGGAAAACCTCTGGAGTTCGACCCATTTGGAAATTAGTGGAATTGGTGGTATTTTAAATTGGTGGTTTATTTGGTGGTTAATATTTGTATTTTATTTGGTGGTCAACAATTGTATTTGTATTTAATATTGATGTTTGAATTGTGAAAATAAAGTTAAAATTAATAAAGTGAATATTTTAAATGGTGGAAAACAATCTGATTTTGATAAGCCAGCAGGAACAAATTGTGCTTCTAATAAAATTGGTGAAAAATTGTGAAAAAATTGGTGAAACAATAGACAAAAAAAAAGTGAAATTGTACTTCTACGAATATTGGTAAAAAAATAGTGAAAAACATTGGTCAATCAACAAACAAAATTGGTGAAATTGTAATTCTGTGAACATTGGTGAAGAAAAAAAAAAAAAATTTTGTGACAACATTAGTGAATCGATAAACAAATTTGGTGAAATTATATTTCCGTGATAATTGGTGAAAATCATTAAGAATATTGTGGGTCGTAAACATAATATATTAAATAATCATAATAAAACAACTTTAAAAACAAAAACCAGTGGTTATAAAATAAATTATAATTAAAATGGCAGATAATAAAGAATTGAAAAAAATGGAACTAACGTCGCAACTGTCGAAAATGGAATCTCTAAAAGGAAAAATCTATCGAAAAATGGACGATATAATTAAAGAATTACAAAAACAAAAGTTTTCAAAAATACCGGTAATTGTAGCAACTCACCGCCTAATAGAGTATGCTAACGAGCATGAATCATTAAAGAAGAAAATATCGGAAACTTGTGCAGAATTAAAACAATCTTATGAAGAACAAAAATATGATTGGAAAACGAAGGAAACATGGGAAAACTATTCGAGAATATTAAAAATGGTGGGAAATATCGAAAAAGAAATTGAAGAAAAAAATATTGAGCTAAAATCACAAAACACACCAAGCCAAACTTGTTCAAAATACTTAAACAATGAATTCAATGAAACAACAACGTCAATAGATCAAGGAACAACAAAATTCGATTCTGGACAAATAAAATTATTGTTACCGTTCGATGGAGAGTTTTTGAATTTTCATGAATTTTTCGAACCTTTTTTACAAATTGTGGATAATGCAGATATATCAAACGCATTAAAACTTCAAATTTTGAGACAAAAAAATGGATGATGAAACACGAACATGGTTGATAGGTTTATCGGAAAGTGGTGACTACGAAACGGCAAAAAATCATTTGAAAGAATATTTTTATAATGAATATGAAATCCAAACAAGAGTTCTTTCTAAATTTTTAAAGGAAACACCAAATCAAAAAGAATTTGATATTATTTCAACAAGAAACTTATTGGTCAAAGCAAGAAATGCTTACAAAATGTTGGTAAAAGCATCATCTAGCGAATATGTAATTGAAACATTAAAATTATACGTAATAAATAAATTGGCTTCTTCGGCTTTGCGATCGTTGGGATATGTGGACGGATTAACAATGGAAGAATTGTTTCAGTTTTTGGAAAAAGATTTAAAACTGGCGCAAAAACGAGTGCAAATGTATTACGATCCACCTGAAGTAACAACTGAAAAACGAAATGAATATGCTTCAAATGAAAGAAACATAAATATTGGAGAAAATTATAATTATAATTATGATCAAAGAAAATGGATGTTCTGTCATTTTTGTAACAACAAAACACATGATACAAAAGAATGTAAATCTCAATTATCATTGGAAGAAAAACGTAATATTATCATCGATAAACGTTTATGCTGGAATTGTTTTGGTAAAGGACATCCAAGTAGATTTTGCAAGATGGAGCAAACATGTGAATTATGCGATGGAAAACATAACACTATGTTCTGTTTACAACAGAATCAACAATTTAATGAATTGAAAAACAATCGTATTGAACAACAACAGGGAAATGGCTCTGTACGACAGAAAAATATGATAAAACCAGCAGCATACTATGGACAACACAATATTTATCCTAAAGAATACAGAGGAGCAAAGCAAACAAATAATGGACAAGAGCAAACATCAGTTAAAGAGCTGCAAAATCATATGTTAAATACACCAACCGGGAAAAGGAAAAATGAAAATGATACGAATATAAATTTGGAACAATCATGGAATGATATAATGGACAAAGAAGCCATGACGGCAATTTTGGAAAATGAAGAATTGACGGATATTGGAGGTCGAAAATTTTCTGAATATTGAATACTATTGAAAAACAGAAGATATAAAATAAATTAAAACAAAACAAAACGAAACGAATGGCGGGAATTTATTTAAGCGGGAGGATGTCATGGAAGATTAAAATTGGTTGGAATTGGAATCGATCATAAAAAATGGGAAATTATGGACAACAAACAGAAAAATTTAATTATTGGAAGAATATTAGACAAGTGGTAACCGGAAAATATTGAAATTGGAAATTCCTGGCACAAATTATCGATATCGTATTGTTAGTAATGGATTTGTTTGGTTTAACGGTTGGAACGATCATTTATTTTGGACATATCGGAAAACATAAGATTGGTAAATCAGGTGGTAAAGGTCGTGGTAAAAGTTAATTGCATAACTTGGAACATTAATAAATGAACATAACGTGCCAAACAAAACGAAACGAAACCAGCAACGAAAACCAATGGCGGAAATCAATTTTAGCGGGGAGATGTCGTGGAAAAATTATTATTCATGGGAATCGGAAAATTAAAACAAACCATCAACAGAACTTATTGGAAGGAAATGGAAAATTAAACAAATCTTGTTGATGAAACTCGAATTGTGGACAGGATGGAATTGAAATTGAATAAATAATGAAGATATAACAGGATGCCGCGGAATATGGATTAAAACAATACCAAAACATTTATCGTGAAGAAATTAAAAAATTGACGGGAATTGGAAATCAAAACAAATCATCAGCAAACTTATTGGAAGGAAATCGAATATCGAAAATAAACAAATCTTGTTGATGAACTATTGGACTATGGACAAATATGGAGTTGGACTTGATAACAAAATAATTTAGAAGATCAAAAAAACAGGATGCTGAATAATATCGAAACGAAAACATTGATGGCGGAAATCGGCAGTCTAAGCATTGGATGGATGTTTTGATCGGATGGAACTGGAAATATTTGATGGAAAANCAAAACATTTATCGTGAAGAAATTAAAAAATTGACGGGAATTGGAAATCAAAACAAATCATCAGCAAACTTATTGGAAGGAAATCGAATATCGAAAATAAACAAATCTTGTTGATGAACTATTGGACTATGGACAAATATGGAGTTGGACTTGATAACAAAATAATTTAGAAGATCAAAAAAAACAGGATGCTGAATAATATCGAAACGAAAACATTGATGGCGGAAATCGGCAGTCTAAGCATTGGATGGATGTTTTGATCGGATGGAACTGGAAATATTTGATGGAAAAACATATATAAACTCCATCAAACTTGGCAAACGTTGGTTGAATTATAGTTGGGTTACATGGTGGTATTTTTGGTAAATATCGGTTATCGACTTAATCGGCGGAATTCAACTCAATGGTGGTTAATTATCGTATTTTAATTGGTGGTTAATATTTGTATTTAATATTGATGTTTAATTGTGAAAAATAAAGTTAAATTTTATAAAGTGAATATTAAATTGATGTGTAAAACATTTTATTTCGACAAGCCAGCAGGAACAAATTGTGCTTCTGAGATAATTGGTGAAAAATTGTGACAACATTGGTGAAACAAAAAAACAAAATTAGTGAAATTGTGCTTCTATGAATATTGATGAAAACGTGAAAAACATTGGTCAATAAATAAACGAATTTAGTGAAATTGTGCTTCAGTAAATTTTGGTGAAAAAACGTTAAAAACATTGGTTAATCAAAAAAACAAAATGTGTGGAATTTAACTTCAGTAAATTTTGGTGAAAAACGTAAAAAACATTGTTGGTCATAAAGAAAATA